AGTAGTAGTAGTAGTAGTACGGGCAGCAGCAGCAGCATCAGCAGCAATTAGCAGTAGCCTTGGCAGTGGCAGTGTAGCAGCTGTGGAAGTGGCAGACCTCAGTTGCAGTCGCAGTAGCAGTGATCGTGATATGCACAGCATGAGTAGTATCGGTGGCAAGTAGCTGCAGCAGCAGATGCAGTGGTGGCAGCTTAGGTAGAGCTAGGAGATGCTAGGAGTATTTATCGTAGCAACGCCAGCTATTGATACTACTTGTAGTAACACTTCTGTTGCTGCCGCTGCTGCTTCTGCCGCTGCTTCTTTGTTGGCAGTTCTCATGCTGTATTTGATGATGGTGGCCCCAGTGATTCCTGTGGTGCTGTGTCGCTGCCGATGACATGAGGATGGTTGCGGTTGAAAACCTTATTCGACTGCAACCCCCCAATGCAGGGATCGGTTGCTCAAGGACCTATGTTTGTAAAGAGTGAGATTGAACAGAAGCAGGCCTTTCGTGCAAATGCTGCCTATAGTTGACAGGCGGCATATCTTCGTAAGCATGCTGCGATGAAGGAGATGGTTGACGAGCTCCCCGCACTCTACGAGCTGCCTCAGAAAGAGGTCGTTTCAGAATGTCAAGCCTCAGGGTATGCTTTCAAGACTTAGGCTGTGCAGGATTTAGAGATTAGAAGTGGTGTTCTCAACTACGGTGTTTAGAGTCACGATTTCTTAGCCGTGCCCGGAAGAAGAGCTTTATCGCTCTGAAGCGCAGGCGAAATGGGTGGAGGATTCGCTGGAGTACAACACGCAGCTCGTCATGCTCGGCAGGGTGTCGGTTCGGGCTTGTAATTGCGACCTGGTGTGGCTGCTACGATCTACGAGTCTGTAACTCTGTGAATTCGTAGGCCGTAGCGGTCGCGTTATTCTTCTGATTGCTGTCGCCTCTAAGGTCTTAAGGTCTTTGCTAGGCCGCTAGGCGACTAGGCAGTGTCGGCAGTGTTCAGTAACCCTGGCCACAATCGCCTGTGACCCTAACATCCCAACACGTTGCCTAACACTTTGAACCCTTCAGTTCCTCTGCTTCCGACTTCCGAGCCAAGGCTGTCGTATCCGAACGTAAGGTGTTGAAGGTTGATGGTTGGGTCTCGGGGGCTGAGGGAGGGAGGGTTTTTGGGCAACAACAGATCAGGCCCTGCACCCCAAGACCCAACGAGTGACTTCGGCCTTCAGATGAGAAGTTTGCAAGGTTGGCAGGATGCGGGAGGTTTGCGGCTGCCTGTGATTACAGAGAGCAGCCGAACGGGGTCCTTTGAGATGAACCGGCTTCATTCTCCAAAACTGCTACGCCACACCCTGACGTCGGTGTCTCACTCCCTCTCTTTTTCTCCTCCTTGTATCTCTGAAACCCGCTTTCAAGGGGCACAGCCGCAATCAGCCGCAACCGCAGCTGGAGACAACAGATAGCAACGGTATGTGGCGACCTTGTGTCTGTACACACACAAACACACATAGATTGTGGATATTACGCTGTATACTGCAGGAGGGTGTATGTTGTTCTGTCTGTCCGGCTGGCCGTCTGTCTGACTTTCAGCCCATACATACAGGAGACAGAGAGCTCTGCAGACATATACACTTTGAATTACTACTTTCTCAACCCTGAACCCCATGGAGTCCTGGAGGCCCCGGGCTCTTTTTGCGGCCCCTGAGCTGTCGCGAATGTCAGGCAAGGCGGGAAGATGAATCGCGGCCTTATCGTCGTTGAGACTGGAGTGGCGATCATGAAGCACCAGGCAAACTGACAGAAGTCTCGGTTCCGATTCAGAGTTTCGTTTTGTTCGGGCCTACACTGTCAGACTCGATGCAGGAAAGTTGAGATCTGATCATGTCTCTCTTGCCAAGGATCTTCTAGACCATAGCATACGGTGTCAGTCGGCAGTCCACCTCATCTTGCTGTGGCATGATCTGTGCGCCTGCCATCCAGGGCCGGGAGCCCACGAACGCTGACCTGAATCGCTTCGCTGTGTTGGGCTGGGCAGTGGAGTACCTCCAGGTGCGTGCATTGTCGTGCTGAGGGATTTGCAGACCGGTATCTCAGATTTGTGCGGTTTAGGCCTGCATGCTCATGGCTGATGACATGATGGACGGCTCGGTGACCCGACGCGGGAACCCTTGCTGGTACAGGCCCGTTGGGCAACCAGGTGTCTGCAGGCGATCGTAACTATCCTCATAGACCCGAAGCCCTACCCAAAGCCCAAAAAACCCTAAACTCCAAGCCCCAATAAACCCTAAACCCGAACCGTCTGCGACTGCAGAAACGAGAAGCAGGCTCCCCCATGTCGGCCTGCTGAATACCAACGATTTCTTGATGGTGGAGATGTTCGTACCGCAGCGGCATGGAGGGTAGCATCAGTCTGCGCGGTATCCAGCAGCTTCGTAGACCGTCGGAGAGACAGTGAGGCGCATGGATGCTTTCGATTGCAAAGAATAGTTAAGTCCTCCTATGCCTTACGTGTTGGCGTGTGAGGTCTACAAAATCCTCAAACGACACTTCGGCCAGGCGGGATGTTAAGAGTTTGCACGTGTCAGGACCTCATCCCCAAACCCCAAAAACGCCTCAAGATCCGGTCAGATAGACTTGCAATGCTGGGCTCGACATGGCTCGACCTGGATCCAGGAACGCATCTTTCCTTGGCTTATGGACCTTTTTCTGGCGACCTGGCTGCATGTGCGACGTTTCGACATTGTCATAGAGTAGGAATGGGATTGAAAAAACCGAATGCCTTCACCGACGGAAGCCAGGAGACAACTTTCCAGACAGAATGCGGTCAGCTGTTGGACTCGATCTGCGCCAACTGCGAGTTGGAGGCAAGCTTTCATCCTGACTCACGTTCAAAGCGTTAGGGGCTTGCGCGTTGGAACCATTTTGAAGTGAAGGCATTCGGTACTTATGGGCTTCGACGTGTTTGCGAGCCAGAAGCATTGTTTAGAGCTCATAAGGGTCAGCACCAACCTGGTGCAGATGCAAGAAAGCCAAAATCCGGCCAAACAGGAGCTGACGACAGAGCGCTGGACGCTGATCGTGTGCCTCAGCCTGAACCCGACGGTGGAATTGTGAAAGCAAAGTTACTTAATGATCCTCTTCAGGTTCCTTTTGATGGCAGCCCTTTTAGATGTATAAGAGGTTATAGCATGCTGCCATAATTAAGTAGGCTTATAGATGCAAAAAGAGATTCGAAGTGCTAAATTCTTAAATTCCTTTGATCAACTGCAAGTAGGCCCTCGGCCATGGCCGCAGCGTGCTTCGAGCTTAGAGAAATCTGGAGCCTAGCCTGGCGGTTTTGGAATTCAATGTCTACTGTAGGCTTTAGGTAGGGCTTAGGATGCATCCCAGCCGTCCTGCAGGAAATACAAGACGGCTTTCTACTCCTTCTACCTCCCGGTGGCTCTCGCAATGCTGGTGCGCCACGCTGCTACAATGCGCTTCTGCGGAGTGCTTTCGTTCGTAGCAGCAAGAATGGTGACACTGAGCCTCAATTTGTCGGCAGCAAGAACAGCAACAGTAGCAGTAGCAGCAGCATGAGCAGTAGCAGAAGAAAAACACTGTGTAGCAGCAGCAGAAGTAACCGTAGAAGTAGTCGTAGTAGTATTGAATTGAGTAGAAGCAGCAAGAAGCTTCAGCACTTTAGTGAGCTTTGGTGGTTAGAGTAAAGGTTACCATCAAAGCAGTAGTATGTATACTGATAGCCGGAGTGGAAGCATCACAGTCAGACAGCAGGTCAATACTTGTGGCATTCACAATAACAAGAAGGAGAGCCGTGAACAGATAAGTATCACTTCCCGCCCGAAAGGTCTGACTATTCGATAGTCTTGTAGTTCCATGAAAACCCCCAAGAGGGAATCAACAACCTATGTAGAAGTGCAGCAGTGTCGCGGCAGGTCACGGGTGTTCGTGACAAGAAGGCCTTCGACACTGCGCGGGATGCGTTGCTGCTCCTGGGCACGCACGGGTCTGTATAGGGGGTCCGAGTGTCAGTGTCTTTGTCCCATATCAGCACCCCAACGAGTCGCACTCTAGACAATCATGTGTAGGGTATCCTTAGACTGTTGCGATTTTGGAGCTCCAGCATACTGCTTCTCTGCTGTACATGTCCGCAGAGCTCGTCCTGTCGTAAAGCTTGATGTGGGTCCAACTGACTTGGTGGAACACTGAACTATGAACCGTATTCTTACGACGAACCCTAGAGTTGTTTAAGCCCTTCTTTGAGTACTTCCTGGGCTGCCCGGCGTTCTGAACTGGTTGTGCCGAGGCTGATGGGCATCTACTTCCAGGCCGCGCCGCAAGCCGAAAACAAGCAGGGTTTGGGGTTTTATGGGTTGCGGGTTAAGGGGTATTAAAGGGCTTCAGGGTTTTTCGAATCGAAGTGTGGCGAATCCATGTGGTTCTGAAGAACCACTCACAGCAATTAAGCCTTAGAGGAACCATGTAAAGGGACGCTTAAAGGGATAACGCTCAGTGTAGATGGCCTACATACTGTTGTGGGGTTCCTTATCTTGATTATGGTATATGCACCCCAAACCACTCGACTCTGCTTATGAAGGCCCCTACTTTCGCGTTCCTTGTCATCATTGTCGTGCAATATATACCCCCTCAAACCCTATTCTGCTGATTACGGACCCCAAAATCGGCTATATTTCTTATGGTATGGCCTAATCAAAAACCCGAAGGCCCTACGATGATCATTTTTTTTAAAGGCCCCCTACCGTGAAAGGAGCCTTATAGAAGATTTATATACCTTATAGAAGCCTTATAGAAGCCCTACATACCCTAAACTCCCCACCTGTAGGTTTCCTTAAACCGTAAACCCTAAACCCATTAAAAAAAAAAACTAAACCCTAAACCCCTGAACCCCTATACCTCTAAACCCTAAACCTCTTTATTTCCTGTCAGGCCCAGGATGACTACTTGGACGCCTTCGCGAGTCCGGAGGCTGCCCTGCCTCAAGCCCTCAAGACCGGCGTCACGCAATTTAGGCTTTCGGCTTGTAGGGTTTTTGGGTGTAGGGTTTTGGGGGCTTTGGGTTTTGGAGGTGTTTGGGTTAAGTTTAGTGTTTGGGGCTTTGGGTTTTGGGTTTGAAATTCAAGACTTTGGGTTTGGGGTTTAGGGTTTTGTGTTTGGGGTTTCGGATTTCTATCAAGGTTCCTTGAATTCAAGGGGCTCCCTTAGGGGATCCTATAGGGGTTCCTGTAAGGATGCTAGTTAGTATAAGGCTTCGACGAGGGCTTCCTATAAGGGTTTCTATGAGGTTTCCTTATGAGTTGAGAGTGCAGATTAACCTTGCTGGGGGCTTGAGAGAAGCATGTTTGGGGTTAGAAAATAAGGTTCATGCAATACTTCGTAGGCAGACAGTCTCTCGCGTTTGGGATCGTTCCGAAGTGTGGCGGCCTTCGAAGTGATAAGCATTCTCGGTGGCTGCGAATGTGTGGCTACAATGACACATAGCTTGTACTGCTTATTGAGCTTATTGCTCCATTGATTCTTGGCTTCATGGTTACTACACCCTAAGCCTAACCCAAAACCCTAAGCCCTAAGCCCTAAACCCTGCTCGATAGTGCTCCTCTGGTTCTGCACTTGCCTTCCCCATGGGGCTCTCTGCAGACATTGAGCTGTGGAAAAAAGGTCCTCCAAAAAAAACAACTAAACCCTAAGCCCGAAGCCTAGACCTCCAAGCCGTAGGTTCTTGCAGCCTCAGAGCCCAACGCCCAGCTACTCCAACCCAGGTACTCGGCAAAGTGCCGGCCCCAGTTTACAGAATTAAGGCCACATATATTGGCTATAGTATTATGGGTTAATATATATATATATATCGATGGATATTGTATATATATATATATGTATATATATGTATATGCATATATTGGCTACAGTATTATGATTATGGTATAGTACATATATATATATATTTATGTATATATATATATATGTATTATGGTAGAGTATACCCCAAAACCCTATTCTGCTTGTTAAGGTCCCTATATACAGGTTTCACTTCAGTCAAACCTTTCCGCAGGTTGGACTTCCAGCCCATGCTAATGGTTTACTGGTCGGAGTTAGCCTTTGCTCGCTGGGAATGGGGTAGAGAAGTTCTCGCAGCCTTGTGCGCGTCATGCGTTGGTGTGGCGTGAGGTCGGAACTGACATCCAGGACTGCAACTTGCACCTCTCACCCGATCGCCTTAAGATATTTCTCCGTGGAGGACAAGAAGTGCAGCTGGCTGTTCGCCCATGCCTACCACGAGCAAAGCACTCCGGAGGCCACGAGGGTTTCCCAGACCTCAGGTTGAAAAACTGAGCTCCAGAGAGACCCACTCCCAGGGAGAAGCCCTCAGTACTCAAAGTCAGAAGCTATGGACGGAAAATTCGGAGCCCGAAGCCTCTCGCAGTAGTCCTGTCGTCGTAGCAGAATCGTTCTCACCTGGGCGAGCTCAAACACTAGTCGTTTTCATAGTAGCGGGAGGGGTAGTAGTCGTGGTGGTAGGAGGAGGAGGGGCAGCAGCAGCAGCAGGGCGAGTAAACATCGCTGGGTCTGCCCAAGAAGTTTGTTCTCTAATGCACAACAAGGTCTAGAGAGATAGATGGAGCTATTCTTGGATACAGAAAATCCACAGACAGGTAACTTGAGTTTCCGACCTGTGGGTAGCCACGCATTCGCAACTACTGCCCATCCCAAACCTTCCCCTGCTGCAGGCAATAAAATTCTTGGACGAGCACTATGGCAAATGTGAGGTCGTGCAGAGAACGCCGTTGATCTTGGGTCGTTGAAATTGCTGCTCTGACGGTCGCATTGACGTGTGTGTTTTCTCAGTGCTCAATATTATGTTATACTAGAGCCCCTAGGGCCCTATATAGTAGGTACCTGGAGGGTTAGGGTATTGTTAACGAAGGGATAAAGCTTGCTCGGCTTGTACGGGATGTCACTGCTCTTGCGGCTCCACTTGTTACTTTCCGCACATTCAGGGAGGCTCGGGTACTTAAGCCCAATTGTTTAGTCTCCAATAGTATGAAAAAAGCTTTGCATCCAATTTTTTGAATCCACGGCAGTTTACCGGTTTTTGTTTCTGGCTTGCAGTTCTCACAGACCTCTGACAAACATGCCGTGGTCAGAGCGAATTAGTAACCTTCTTGCCGTTGCTACTCTTCCTGGTGGTGGTGGAGGTGGCGTCGGTTTGATCTTGTTCTTGTAGTTGTTCCTCTTCATATGTCTTTTAGTGCTTTGTGATTGGTTGGTTCTTCCTTACCTCCTTCAATGGTGCGGCAGGTTGGCAGCCAAGAAGAGTCCAAGATCAAGGAAATCTACAGAGAACTCGGCCTGCAGGAGCCGACTCAAACGCTCCCGTGCAAAGTCTTTGCCGGACCGGCCTGAATTGTGAGGTGTCAACAGAGAGTTCCTGGGTAAAAGGCCAGGTGCACGTCCTGATAGATCGATACATGCATGAAGTGATGCATGAAGGTGTATACGGTCGTGTGCGTGTGTATACTTGTATTATAGATACGCTTGTTCTTTGAATGTCTAACTTCAGGCAAGTACAGCACCTATCTTCGGGTCTGTCCATAGAAATTTTATGTGTCTGTCGCACTTGAAACTTGCAGATGACAACTGATTCGCCCCAGAGGCTGCGGTCTGGGCTGCGCAGTAGTGCTGGTGTTGAGACAGCCAGTCCGCGCATGCATGCATTGTCGAGATCGTCATGTATGGCAATTGTTGAAAACTGGGGATGCAGGTGTTTACGGCTGGGGTCCTTAGAAACAACGGGCCCAACTATTCGTTGGGGTTCTGTAGTGGGATCTCGTTAATTTTCGCAGACTCCCATGTGTCCGTAGGCCCCTGCCGTCCAGGAGCTGTTCCAAGAGTACGAGGAGGATGTGGAGAATCGCCTGGAGGACTTCAAGTCCCAGGCCACTGCGTCGGGAAGTGGTTCTCAATGGCAAAAGCAGCAGCCACGCACCACAAAACCAGAGTAACTGCTAGTTGATAAGGATCGCCGCCGTCAACACATGAAGGGAATGCCTAGCACCCTACTAATACCAAGCCTTGAAACAGCGGGTGGAGTGGTGTCATCATCATCACCATCATGTTCTTCAACAACAGTCATCGTCATTGCCATGAAGATTTCCAACTAAGACAACCTAAACAGTTCTAAGTCTTCCTGAAGATCCGAACCGTTCGCATTGGACCGTGCAAGCTGAGCCTAAAGCCTTCCCAAGGTCTAGCGGCGTACCCATTTAGGGTTTAGGGCCGTTTAGGGTTTATGGCACCTCAGGATGATGATTCCCATCATCGCAGGTCAAAGCGGCAGATTTGCCGTGGTCGGTCTTCGATCGGCACCACGGCGGCACCTGTCGTGGACCGTTTGCTCGTCGTCGCCGTGGTCGTAGTCGTAGAAGTCAGCAATAGAAGGGAAAGCAAGACTAAGAAGAGGAAGAAGAAGCAGAAGCAGGAATAGCTGAAGAAGGCTCACATAGCATGAGCACTCGTTTCAATCCACCTGAGCCATATCTGTCAGGCGCATACAAAGGAAGTGTATCCCACGGATAGGTTAGATACATGCCCTGATCGGTGCTACGATGTTGCTCAGTCTCGAAACAGATGGGGCCTGGATATCGAGATATGGCAGAGTCCAACCTTTGAGTATCGGTTCCATGCATTTTTGTTTGCATGAGTCCGACATGTATAGAGCAGCTCATACATGCAAAGTCCCGACCTTGCATGACTGGCAATCGATCAGGTTTTTCCAACTTATTCACAAGCGCCGCAAGTGAGATTGGCTGGCTTAGCGGTTGAAGCGAGTCCACTTGCTGTGGAAGTTGCGAAAGCACCAGGGTCGGCATTTAGAGCGAGGCAGATGATACAGGCCATGAAGAGGCACTGAAGGCATGTTTTAACTCAGAATTGTCAGTGCTTTAGGTGGACTTCTGCAATCGGCACTTCAGTCTCACTCCGTGGTTGAAGGCAGGCACCGCAGCTTGAGCTGCACAAAGGTTGCCGCGACAGGACCCGGCATTCTCTTGGAACAGCGCGGAAAACAGAGAGCCAGAGCGAAGCAGAAAGAGTTGGAGCAGAGAAGCAGACGGCGTTAGACAATGCAATTGGCTCGAGTCCTGTTTTGTAAGTCTCCGGTCTCCTCAGTGCCACCGGCTGCAGCCAAAAGCAGTTCACAACAAGTCGCTTGTCGCAAAAGCCCGCGGGGCAAGGCCACGTGGTTGCTCTGGAATTTCTTCCAGAGCAACCACGTGGCCTGACTCGAAGACGTGCTTATCCGCTGACACCAACACCATGGCCAGCGCAGCCAACTCCCGGCTTTCCCAACACAAGCGCCTGCGTGAAAGCACCATGGTCAGTAGCACACCGACTTTCCGAGGAGCTAAGAGGTTTGCTGGTTGGCACACAAAACAGTCACGACCGACCGGAGTGGCAACACTCGCATGCAACATGGGGCCCATGAAGGGCAAGACTGGGCCCAACGGAACAGTTTGCACACTATGACGGAGTTGACCGTGCGGCGGAAGCCTTGGCTATGGTCTCTGTTCGGGCTGCAACGCACACATCTTCAACGATGGCCAGGCGAACTCAGCCAATGCGATTGCAGCACATGCCAGCAGGCATGGGCGTGCGGGCTCCGCACTGGCGGAGGCTGCTGCCGGCGGTGCCAAGGCCATGAAGGCAGAGGCAAGATCCGAAGGGATCCCAGGAACTGGGAAAAGCAGCTCGGTGCTCGGGTCCTGCTGACCCCCGCCCCCCCCCCCCCTGGCCCGAGTGCAGGCCGGCTCTGCGGCTGAACTCCCCGCTGGAGAGGTGAGTGCTCTGGCCCCTTTGCAGCAGGTGCTCTCGGTGGTTGGCATTGAGAACGGTTGCCCGGTCCTTCACTTGGGGCCGGTGTCCACTCCTTGCTTCATCATGCCACGCGGGACCTTGCTGGACATCCCCTCCGCACAGTGTACAGTCTAGCTGTTTGGGAGGAGTTACTGGATGCCACCCTGAGCTTGCTGGAGCAGAAAAGTATAGTACTTTGCAGGGGAGTTAAGCCTGGCAGTCAACTTATTACTGCAGCAGTATATTTTGCACGGGCTATATCTGCCGACTAGTCCGGTCTAACCAAGCTAGGTCTGCTTTAAGCGCACTGCTGGTAGGAACACATCAATAAACACTGCCACTGCTAGCTACGCGCAGTCCAATCTTCGGGACGCAGATACGGACACTACGAAGGCTGCTACTTCATATGGAGAGCAGCAGTATCGTGACCCATGTATTGGCGTCATCCCAGCACGAACAATGCGACGAGAACAACACCGTTGTAACAACAGGAGTAAAACAGTAAAACTGATTTTGCAATACTAGATACTGTAGGTATATGAAGCGTCGGTGTTGAACTGCGAGGCCCGCAGGTGAACACCGACAATACTCAGCAAGCACCGTGAATATTTGCATAAATGCATATATTCATGTATGTGCATTGAGGGTGTGTCCACGTTCATTGCTTTTCCATGTCGCAGTGAATTTCTGGATCAAGAGCTGGTTCAGCCAGTGATGCCTTTTCGTGCAGTCCTGGACAAGGCTCAAGTTGCGGGTTTTTCGTTCAGGATGTTGAGGACTGTCATGAGGGTTTTGTTTAGGGTTTCATAAGGATCAGGTGGTTCAGGGGGTGCTGGGCCGAAGCGTTTCAGGGTTTCGGTTTGGGGCCTTCAGTCGTAGCCCATCTCAGCAATCCCTAACTCTCTTTGCTCTACGAAGCCTGAAAAACTGAAGGTCTCCGATTGTCGGAGATCACAGTTTGAAGGGGGCAACCTTGGAAGACCTAGCCCTCTGCGAGTTTAGGGTTGAGGGCGCAACACCTACGAGGCACTCCCCCACAAGCTACTCCGACTGCGAACGAAGCCTTAAACCCTAAACCCTA